TCAAGTCAATACTTAATAAAAGGTGTAATTGAGGATTTTATAAGTGGGGGAGAGGCAGTCATATTTCACAGGTTAAGGTCAATATATTCTGCATCATTTTCTTACGTAGTGCAAAATTAATGCTGCAGTGAAAATCCTGTCCCCTTTCAAGAATTCAACTACAAGACATAAAATTGCCAATTGTATTAATTTACAATTTTCATCCAATTTGTTAGCCTAATTGAGATGCTTAGAAAAGTGAGAGCAGGTCAGCTTCTGTCTCTGTGTGTGCTCTACAATGAGTTTGGCTAGCTTTTGATCAAGATATGGTAAAGATAATTTTTTGGTCAGGATTTGGAATTATGTACTTATTAACTCTGACGAAGTTCCCTGAGTATATACATCCTGGCAAATATTGAAGCAGCCTTAAATTCTTTCTCCCCCACACCTCCAAAACATAATTTTGTTAGAAATTGGGTTAGACAGTCATAATGGTTCTATTTCAGGGGTGGGCAAACTTTTTAGCCTGAGGACCCACATCGGGGTATGGAAATTGTATGGCGGGCCATGAATGCTCATAAAATTAGGGGTCGGAGTGCCGGAGGGGATGAGGGCTCCAGCTGGGGGTATGGACTCTGGGGTGAGGCCAGAAATGAGGAATTCAGGGTGCAGGAGGGGGCTCCGGGTTGGGGTAGGGGGGGTGAGGGGTTTGGGGTGCAGGAGGGGGCTCCAGACTGGGATTGAGGGGTTTGGAGGGCAGGAGGGGGATCAAGGCTGGGGCAGCGGGTTGGAGTACAGGGGAAGGTGTGAAAGCTCCGGCTGGGGGTGAGGGCTCTAGGGTGGGGCCAGGGATGAGGGGTTTGGGGTGCAGGAGGGTGCTCCGGGCTGTGACCGAGGGGTTCAGAGAGCAGGATCAGGGATGGGGCAGGCTGTTGGGGCACGGGGTGGGGGGTGAGGGCTCTGGGGTGGGGCTGAGGATGAGGGTCTTGAGGTACAAGGGGGGGCTCTGGACTGGGATTGAGGGGTTCAGAGGGTGGGAGGGGGATCAGGGTTGGGGTATGGAAGAGGGGTGGGAGGGCTCCAGCTGTGGGTTGCGGTCTCTCAGGTGGGGCCGGGGATGAGGGGTTTGGCGTGCAGGAGCGTGCTCCGGGCTGTGACCGAGGGGTTCGGAGAGCAGGATCAGGGATGGAGCAGGCTATGGGGGCACGGGGTGGGGAGTGAGGACTCTGGGGTGGGGCTGGGGATGAGGGGCTTTGAGTACAAAGTGGGGCTCTGGGCTGGGATTGAGGGGTTCAGAGGGTGGGAGGGCTCTGGCTGGGGGTGCAGTCTCTGGGGTGGGGCTGGGTTTAAGGGGATTGGGGTACAAGAGGGGGTCTCTGGCTGGGATCAAGGGGTTCGGAGGGTGGGAGGGGGATCAGGGCTGTGGCAGGGGGCTGGGGTGTGGAGAGGGGGGATCAGGGGTGCGTGCAGGCTCTGGGCAGCGCTTACTGCAAGCAGCTCCCGGAAGCATGTTCCCCCTCCAGCTCTGAGGCGCAGCCAGACGGCTTTACGCACTGTCCCGTCTGCAGGCGCCATCCCTTCAGTTCCCAGGAACAGCGGCCAATGGGACCTGTGGGGGACGGTGCCTGCGGGTGGGGCAATGCGCAGAGCCGCCTGGCCATCCCTCCGTGTACTACATAGGAGCCGGAGGGGGGTCATGGCGGCTGCTTCCTGGGAGCTGCGCGGAGTGGGGTAAGCTCCTGACCCTGCTCCCTGGCTGGAGCACCGGAGCAGGGCAAACTCCCGATCCCTGGCGGGAGCTGAGGACCAGATTAAATGGTCTGATGGGCCGGATGTGGCCCGTGGGCTGTAGTTTGCCCACCCCTGTTCTATTTTACTATTTTAGGCAATTGTGGATTGGTACCCTACTATAATTTCACATGGTTTTCCTAAGGGTTTATTTTGACATTATACTTCCTAGTAGCTGCATATTTTGTTGAGCCATTGCTAGTTTATGATATTTTGGCTATTTGTGAGATTCTAGTATGGTATTCTTCCCAAACTGGCGCAAGCCTTGGTTCCCCCTAGTTTCAATTTTATATAAAACACACTTCTATAGGGCCAATAGAAAATGTTTCCACAATTTAAAAAAATCCAGTGAAAACACTTTTTAAAAAAAACAAACACTCCCCAAATAAACCAGTCCCCTGCTGTTTGAATCCCAGACATTATACCACTAAAACCTGGAAGTGAAACCTCAGAGAGATTATCATGTCCAATCTATAAGAAATGCAAAAAGTAAATTAAGAATCATAACGAGTGACAAATAAATTGGATTTTTTAAATTTTTGCTTCTAATAATCTAAAAAAGTTAGTTAATATAGATCAAGAAGTGTTTGTTTGCAAAACGTTTAAATTGAAAGCATCCTTTTAACAGTGGAAAAAATTGTCCCTTGAAACATATATGTTGAAATACATAGTTTATGGATGATAAATGCAACTGATCTTGTTTACATTGGGTTCATTGCCATAACATAAAATCTTGATCTTTTGTTGGGAGAGGGAAGGGAATAGAAACAGTTTAATTTGTATTCATTTGTAATATTGTTATTCAAATAGAATTCTCTGGGGCATTAGAATCTCACGTGCAGCAGATATATGAACCCTGGACATCAATAGCCAGTAGTTGAATCCATTGTTGGCAGTAATCAGAGTTAAATTCACTGGCATCAAAGCATTATGACAGATCTCTGATTAAACTGAATATGTGCTTTATTGTGCAATACTGATTGCTGAGTCTTTTTGTTTTAAAGATATTATGATTAATTATATCCGTTTTTAAGCACAATAAAACATAATGAATTAATTAATTATACGTTTATCTCCTTACTGGTCTTCCTAGTACAAAAATGGCTTCCAGGCACTTCAGGACTTGAGTGAGCACCAAGTAATGCTCTCTTTTGTTCATGCTATTTCTTAGACAAAATGTTGTGAAATTGTTTGGAGACCAAGAAGAATTCAAATAAATCTTTTTGCAACTAAGTGTCCTGATATGTCAAAATATTAACATTATATAGCAGTCACTGGGATCTAGATGGAAGTCTTATAACAAGTTGCTTCTCTAGAAAGTTAACGTTTTAGTTCCAGAATGAAGTGCTTTATTTCTATGACCTACTTTTTGCTTTTATCAAGAACCTGCTGCTGCTGCTTTTTGTTGTTGTTGGAAATACAGTGATACGTTGGTTTTTGCAGCCCCTGGCAGGCAGAAGGTTTCTTGGGTAGCATGCACAAGATTGGCAACTATTACACCCTTTAAAAAAGCGAGCATATGCTTGCCCCTGTACTGGCCCTGTGTTTCCTGATAAAGCATAAATTGCCCTCTATGCTCAGCCATTCTTCTTTGGTATAATCCCATCCCCCTTCACACCTTGATCTCAAGTGATGCAATCACCATGAATCTGTCTGCATCCTGCAAGGATATGCATGGGAGGAAAAATTGCTCCTGGTGCAATCCATCACAAACAAGAGAACAGCTAGAAACTGTCCCATAATATAAAACAAAAATGCTGTTTACCCTGTTAAACAACAACAATCTTTTTCCCATTTAAAAAATTTATAATATGTCATTGGGAATTTTGCAGGAGTGCAGGATCAGACCCAACAATTGCATTATATCACAGGTCTGAAGAGCTCTAAAAAGTTAATTGTTTTCAACATTGGTTTCCATTTAGTCCTATATAGGAAGTATGCCCTTCCTCAGATACCCTGCATGTTTGATCAAAAGAAAAAGAAACTATTGTACCACTTGGAAACTTTACTTATTTCTTTACGTAGAAAAGGCTTTCAATAAATACAAGGCATGGAGTTTCCGTTACAGTTAGACCAGTAAAAGCTAGGTCTGCCAGGAAAATCTTCTTGCTTATAACTAATCTTTTACTGATGTTAATTTAGAAAGAATTTGTAGACAAATTATTTTGCACTAGAGCAAGCTTCCTTTTCTGGTTGCCACTCCTACTATTCTAGTAATCTTGATGTTCTTGGGGAAGGGGGGAGGAGGGGGAGAGATTGTGTTCACCTTTTGCAAAAATTCATATTAAAACTGTTTCCTAATATATCCAAGTCTTTTGAAATCACATTCTGTGGGAACAATCAGATCTATCTTGTATACTGCACATAGGCCTTAACCAACATTCGTTGAAGTAAATGAAAAATATTCTATTAATTTATTTGGATGCTAGATTGGGCCTATAACTCGCTTATTCTTAGTGACATTTTAATGCCTGCCTCCATCTACTTGTTTAGCTACTCTGGCAAGGAATTTTTAACTAATTTTTGTTGATAGCTGAATACTTCAGTCAGGCACCTAGCAACTGCTGAAGATGGGTTTATCTCTGACTTAGTTAGCTCAGTCAAATGTGAAACTTATTGTGAAGATTTAAAATGGAAAATCTATATACTGTGTCAGAAATCAATACTCTTTTAACTAATACTTTCTCACTGTCAAGTGTTTATTAGTAGTATTAGACATTGCCTTTAGAGAACAAGACACTATCCCATGTTAATATAATAAAGGCTGTAGCAGAAAGGGCTTCTCAATGGTAAAAGTGGGGCTAGACCTAGATAGTGGCACTATGCTCTCAACACACACACAAGATGACCATTTCACAACTTTTGGTGGGCTTATTTGATGCTCATTGTCCACATGATAACTGTGGGATTGCGCCTGAAGAGGTTTAATATATGTTATTCAGTTCATATTTGGGCCTAATACTGTGTTTCCTGTACACCCAGAATTCCTGTTAATTTCAGTGCTACTTTGAAGTTATCACATCCCTCTTTACATCATCATTTACCATTTCACAGTTCAAAATTATAAAAATGCCTTTCCTGACTATTAAAACCTTCATAAAAATGTGATACCTAATGTCAGACATTAGCCATCTCGCTGTGCAAAGCCTTCTAACAAGCTTGACGTTTTGCTTCCTAACCAGAAGAATTTACAAACAGGCATCATCTCAAAATAACTTATTTTCCTCCCATAGTAAAAGAAGCAAAAAAGGAGATAAAAATGGAAAGGGTCTGAGGCATTTTTCAATGAAAGTATGTGAAAAAGTCCAGCGAAAAGGAACAACGTCCTACAATGAAGTAGCTGATGAACTGGTATCAGAATTCACAAATTCTAATAGCCACTTGGCTACAGATTCGGTAAGGAGATGTGATGTTAATTTTTTTATTTTACAGCTATACTGTCATATCCTGTCACAGTTCTCTTAGAATTCTACGCTTGTTTCTGCCTTGACTTGTCATGTTCCACTGTCTCTTTCAAACAAATGTGTCTCAGGGCTATAGATCTAGGTCTAGACCATTTCCAAAAATATCAACATGCAGTATATAAAATAGGTTCCATTTTAAATATAGAATTAATACCACCCTTTAAAATACAACAAAATACAGAGACAACAGGCTGCCTTAAAATTGCCTTTTAAAAGATTCTACTCACACTCCACCCCAAGTAACTGAGAGTCTGAGGTGCTTCGGTCTCCCTGAAATGGAGGACACCTGTCTCAAATGCACAAGTTGTAATAACTAGGCCGACTGTAGTCTTAATTATGTGTACACAAAACTGCACAAGTTCTTACATCAGATTAATCATTTTTGTCATGATGGAAATACAATTGAAAAATCAATTTCTGTAGAAATAATTGTGCTATAGGATATAATCCTATTTTGATTGGTTGTTATTAATATATAGGAGTTTGAGCAATTCAGGCAGTAAATTAATTGCCAGGATAAAAACATAATTAGGGATTATTTTATTTTCTGGTTAACTTGGGTCATGTTAACAGAGAATAATAATTAGTTTGGCAGGGCTAGAGGAGGTCCTTTGTGAGGGTTTGGAATATTAATTTTAGCCTATACATATGAAGAGTAGAGAAAAGCAACCTGAACTAAACAAAAATACTGTGCATTCTCTTAACTCAGCAGTTTGAAAGTCCAAATGGTAAAAAATACTCTTCTCCATGAACACATTGTTATACATATTTAAAAATTGGTTTCATTACAACTCATTTCTTAAAGACAGTTATTTGTTTTAAAAATGCATATAGCTGTAATTTTAAGGATACTCATCCAGCTACTAGTTTGGAATCTTTTGTATCAAAAGTACTCTACTTTATGCACTTATGACGTTTTGAGAACGATCTGCTTCAGTTTTAAGTGATTTTTTTTTTAAATGATGTATTCTATTATATTGGCTCAAGCATGTAAGGGGGACAAGATTAAGCCTAACAATATTTTTTTAATATGCAAAATCAAGAAGCAGATAGTGTATATTCTATTGTATTTACTGTTTCTGAGTGATCTCCCAGCTTTCATTCAAACACCTTACTTAGTGTTTTATTCAACACAATAGCATAAATTAAAGCATATGTTTTAGTGCCATATTGACTTCAACTGCCATTTTCTTTTATTCATATATTGTCTTCATGTCACTTGCAAACCTATAAAGGAAAATTTCAAACGGCATCTTAACTTCTAGCTTTTGCAGTGGTCTTGGCCTAATTAATACTACAGTGCTTTTTTTTTTTTAGCAGGCTTATGATCAGAAGAATATTAGGCGGAGAGTTTATGATGCCCTCAATGTGCTGATGGCAATGAACATCATTTCAAAAGAGAAAAAGGAAATCAAATGGATTGGCCTTCCTACAAACTCAGCTCAAGAATGTCAAAACCTAGAGGTAAGTGGAGGGGAGGGGAAATCCCTTCAGTTGCAGATGACGTCCTGTGGTAATGGAGAAGTGTCGCTTTGGAAAGAGTGTGTGTGTTTATATTTGCATAATAAACGTTTAAAAATATGAACTTTAAAAAAAAATCTAATTGCTTTTTATTGTTGCTTTGATATTTAAATCCTCACTGAAATGTTTCTGTGTATATTCTAAGTATAACTATAGTATACTTGATACCAATCTAAAAATCCTGTTTGCCTGACAAAAATAAATATCAATGAAGTCAGGCAGGGTGTAAAAGGGCATTCACCCCTTGAGTGTCTCCAAGCAGCAGGTGCAATATTGCAATCCTTTTCCTGTTCCTGGCGCCCCCTGTAGGACATCTGTCTACCTCTGCCAGTCTTCTGTAGCTTGGTCTTGTGTCTGTGTCACAGTCAAAAATTAATCCTTTCCGGGATAGCAAAGAGTCCAACAAATAAGCAGTGTATCTGCCCTCACCAGGGTCTTCAGCTCTGGCTCTTGGACTTTATATTCAGCCCTTCACTTGGGTTTCCAAACAAGCCCTCTCCCCTTTTTTGGTCTTAGGTTACGCTTGTCCTCCCTTTCTCAGAGTTTACACCACTTTGCCAGTGGGGGAACCAGGGCTCATCCATTACTCTGGGTTCCAGGCAGGCACCCCTGTGAACAGCAACAACGGTAGTGCTAAATTTTTTGCTGCTACTTCCTTGGGCTTCCTCCCACCTGGCCCGTCTTATCTTAACCCTTAGCTGAAGGACAGTGTTCTCAAGTCCCTCTGTCCCCGCAAACCCAGATATGCAAATGTGGCAGAGATAAACCCTGGATAATCCACAGGCTCCTTTGGGCAGAGAGGAATATCCATCCATGGTCCTCTGGGCCCAGCCAGAGGCTGCCCTGCTAGGGCACTACAGGTACTTTTATCTGAGCCTGCTGGGCTCAGATAACTGTTGCTAGTCCTCCTAGCTCTTGGAGTGCCAGGTCTCTCTAGTCTCCAAGATGGCTGCTCCAGAGAGGACTTTCTAGGCAGGCCTAGAGGACTCAGTGTCACTGCTCCATTCCTCCTACATCATTGCTTCCTGACACGGAGTGTAGTAAGACTGTGGGGCCTCCTGTAGAGAGCTGCAAAGGCCAGATACACCCATCACACAGGGCATTAGGATGTAGGTTAATAGCAGTCTGAATCAGTCATAAGTGTAATATGGGCAATTTGTGTCAATGCTTTGGTTACTGACCGCAGAGAAATGGCAGTGTTTGAAAGCAGTGCTCAGATATCTTCCATGGATCAGTGAGGAGACACTCACTGCAGCTGGAGCTAAGAAAAAAAGTGAGGCTACAATTTGAGACTTCAAAGAAATGTTTGTCGAGAGTAAAAGGAAAGGCTGAATGGGTTTCACATCAAGTCATTCTGTAAGAAAGATACAGAATCCTGGAAGTAGACTCAGACAGGTAATTTAGAACAGGCTGCCACCAGGCACAATTTCCACATCTTCTATTGAACTCTGCAATGTTTGCAGGGAAAGGTGGCATCAGCTTTCCTAGCTAAGAAGTATGATGACAGCATCAGCCAGAGTCTGAAGGATCAGTTATAACAATGGGAAGATCATTTCACGATGCTCCTCAATTGTCTGCTGCCTGCTGTCCCTATTCCATTTGAAGATGAGCAGGAAGTTCCAGTAGAGCTTCCAGTAGAGCTACCTTCCTTCATCCAAGAAGAGATGGAAATCACAGTCCACAAGTTGAAGTCTGAGAACGCACCCGGGGTTTGTAACATCACTGCACAGGCTCTTCCAGGTCATCTGGAACTCTGATATCATACCTGATGAATGGAAGAAGGGTGTTATTCTGCTTTGTTCAAAAAGGGCAATGAAGCTGAATGTAGCAACTAAAGAAATATTAAGCTGTTGTTGGTCTCAGGTGTAGAGATGCATAGCTCCCGAATCGTCAGCCCACAGGCGCAGCAAACTGCTCCCATGGCTACGAGGCAGAAGTGACCTTCAATCCAGCGTTTGTGTTTGAGAAACTTATTTGGCTAATTTAATTGTACCCTCGCAGCTAGTGTTCACGCGCTCAAGAGATGGGTTCGTTATCTTATGTGCATATATACTGCCTAGCTTTTCTATGCGCAAAATTTGTACCAATAAAAAGCGTTGTAAACAAAAAAGTGTAAAAAATAAAAGCCCCCAAAAAAGTTCCTAGAAGTAGAGGGGCTTTTCGGCTACCACAGACCTAGCGTTCTGTTTCCTTTCCTGCGTTGTCACCACACTCAGGGAAAGTCTTTGCTTCTGCGTTAATATCTCAAATCAATGATGCATTTCATGGCATAGGCTGGGATACTGAGTGTGGGTTTAGATCTGGTCATTCCATTGTTGACCAGATATTTAACTTTAGACAGCCTTTTGAGAAAATGGCTGAATATGATAAACTGTGCACAGCACTTTGCATAGACTTCCATGCGGCCATTCGCTCAGTGATTTGAGCAAGTTCGTGGGACCTGATGAGGCAACTAAACATCTCTAGGAAGACTGGTCATTAGTAGAAGAACTCTACAATGGAATAGGAGCTGTGTTCAAGTCAATGGCAGGTACGCAGCATGGTTTCCTATCTCTACGGGAGTTCAACAAGGCTGAGTTCTGTCATAATCCATTGTTCAATGTTGGCATTGATTGGTTGATGAATAAAGCTTGAGAAGGCAGCTGTCGGTGGTGTTGAGCTGAACATTATTCTATTTTGAGGTCTCAAATATAGTGGTGACATTCTCTTGTTGGCTCAGTTTGGTGAATCGCTGCGGCTCACAGCCAGTCTGGTCCAGTCAGAAGCAGTGTGCACTGGTCTGGTTATTAATCCAGATAAAACTAAGCGCCTGACCATTATCATCAAGCAGCCTCCAGCACCAAATTACAACCTGTCCAGATAAGATATCAGCTGTCAAATATTTGGGCAACATCATAGACCGTGCTGAAGGATGGTCAAAAGATGTGGATGCTCAAATAAACAGCAGCTACCATGTTTTGGGCCCTTCTGTGGCCTCTGGGGACATCATGACTTGAAGCATGCTACGAAGCTGCAGATCTATAGAATCATGCTTATCCTAACCCTGCTGTACAGAAGTGAAACATAGGGGCTGAAGAACTCTTGAGTTGACATTTTTTATTCTTGTCATCTCCGTCAGCTGCTCCATATCAAGCGGCAGGACAAGATCAAAAATTAGAATATTCAAAGCCAAACCTACCAGCCATCTCCACCATTGATTCTGTTTCAGCAGCTTTCTTGGTATGGACATATTACTACAAGGCAGGACCAAGAAATTCCAAAGGCTATGTACCAAGGAATGCCGCTCCACAGCAGGTGATCACATGGGTGCCATAAACTTTGGTGGCCCAATAAGATTGCCAGTAGCCATAAACTGAACATATAGCTAAAACAATTCAGGCAATTTGCCAGAACTCAAGCCAGCTGGCGCTTGATTTGCAAAGGAGGACAAGTCCCTTTGGTATTTGCCACAATGATGATGATTTGTTTAGAAAAAGAATTTACTGGGGAGTAAGTTTATCTAGCTATTGATATGGATGATAGAAAACCTCTTTAAAAGGAATATCATACAGGGATGCTGAACAATATTTGCTTATCAGGAAAAGTCAGAAATATTTTTAAAATTGCCTGTTGAATCTTTTGTCTGGCATTTTCAGCAGGGAGAAAACTATCATTTTGTTGCAAAGATGCCAAACTTTCTCTGTGAAAATGTCACTTGCCCTGTGGACAATAGTCATGTATCTTGCACAAGACAAATATCACAATGTTCACACCAAAATATTGTACTGACTAGCAGAAAATACAACATCTCAATCTCTATCAAATTTGTGAATTTTTGCAATTACTTGAATAAATATCTGGTTTTGTATAACTAGTGAAAAACAAGTTATTTTGTGCAGTTCTATTCATATAATACCTTTTAGGACATTGAAATGGCAATGGGAGAAAAGAAAAAGAAAAACATTTACTGTTTTAATCATTGTCAAACAGTAGGCTGACAGGTATGATAAACCCAGGGAAAATGGCTACGTCTGATCATTTTAAAGTAAATTTTACCATAATAGTATGTTGTGAATCTTTTTTAAATGTCTTTGGTTTTAATTCAAATCTTTTAAACTCAGTTTGTGTGAATTATTTGTGTGCATCATATTGCTATGAAATGATAAATTTTGATGTTATTGTTCTCACATTTTGTTGTCTACAGTGTGAGAACTCAATCAAATTAACCTTATGTCCTTTTTCTATCTATGACTTTAGTTACACAAGCCTCTGAGCACAGTGAAAACCAAGCATTTCCTTAAAATGTTGCTTTCAGTGTCATTTAACAGAAAAGAAATAAAGCTGTGTTTTCACATGTGCTGAAATCAATAGATTTACCAAGTGTATTTTAAAGTTATTTTAAATACATAAACAAAAATGTAGTTCTGTGTAAAGGTCACCTTAAAGAGAAAACACAGAAAAAATCAGTGTGTAGAGAGGATAAATTATTAGACCTTTTAAAATTTATTTACTTTGATAGTCTTATAGGTCAAGCAAAGCTAGGCCCTGCACTCAACTTTGCAGAAAGCACATTAGTCACAGTTAATTGTATTAGAAGGCATTGTAAGTAGAATTGTTTCTGTTTGCAGTGGAGTTAAACTTTATAATATTATGATTTGGAGCTACGCAATTTGAAATGAGAGGTAATTAAAATAGGGCTTAATGTAATTGGGAGCCAAGATACATTAGTGTTTACAGCAGCAGGAACATTAAAACCTAGAGCATTAAAAATACATATAGAGGCCAGCACTGTAGCTTTATTAGACTGTCCACCCCTTTGGATTTCCTCAGGACTCTCCTTGATTTAAAGTATAGATTCTGGTGTTCTGGCAGCATGGGTAGAGGTCCTGACGTACCACTGTCCTGAATACTGTTGAAAATAGTTTTGTTTATTCCATTTGTGTCACCATGGCTGCCGGAAGAAACTGATAGCATGGTAGCTGCTTTCCCTTAACCTCTTCTTGTGACTGGTTACTGAATTCTTGCTAGTCTATCCAGGTTTCCGGTTAGTAGTCAAAAAGGGTGGTCACTCTTGGCCTAGCGATGATACACTAAAATGCCATCCTAGATGGTCCTGGGCCCAGTCTCGATAGTTGTCTTTCAGTCCTGAGTAAACGGACTGAGAGAACTGTTGATGGGATGCTTTTAATGAGTGGGAATAAGAAAGCAAATGTTTTATTGTGATACTATGATGGCTCCATTTTGGAGGGATGCAGTATTTCCTATCCAGGACTGGAGAAAGTTCCTATGACATATATCCAACAGGGAAAAATAAGGGAGAGGAAATGCTACAACTTAGGTGGGGTAGTATTGATCTTTTAAAGAAGGGAAAGTGATATAAAAGCAGAGGTTGAGGTTGCAGTCAAAAATTAAGTTGTGTAAATCCAGGTTCCTAGAGATGCCCCACTATGTGATTAGTCCATATGAGAAAGGAGAATGCTACAAGGTAGCGAAGTGTAGCTGGGAAGGATTTTCAGCTTATGTACCAGGCCCTGTAACCCACCTCCCTCAAACAAATATAGTGTGAATTTCTATAAGGGTATCAAAATTTCACTTCCTTTATTGCAAAAATCTATTTTGTTTTAGACAGAGAACAAGACCAGGCAATTTATGTATTTACAAAATTGTATCTTAGTGTGTCTAAATTTATGTTCTAAAGATAGAGAAACAGAGACGGCTAGAACGAATAAAACAGAAGAGAGCCCAGCTGCAAGAGCTACTATTGCAGGTAAATTTAATTTTTATTTATACAGCCACTAACAAAAAACTGTTAAGGTTCAGAGTATTTTTTTCTCCACTTTATAAATGTTTTTAGATTAATTTAGTGCCCATGAAAGTGATATTGCAGTGTACCTGAATCCTGACCTAAAATACTCCTGCCATCCTAGCATGGGGCCTCTTGGATAGATGCAGCCTCCTGGAGCACAATTGTCATTATCAGTCAATATCTTCTACCCTATGTCATTATTACATTTTGCAAACATTCCACTCATGCTGTTTTGCCACCGACTCCAGTGGGAACAGGAGCAGGATCACGCCGCCCCCCGCCTCTCCTCCTCTCCTCATCCTCCCCCCTCTCCCCCCTCTTGGTCCCTCTGACAAGTTACCATTGAAAAATGCAATTTTCAACACACACTTGCATGGGTTCAGTTGTACATTCCATAGCTGAGAATCAGTTGTTGCTGGGGAACTAAAACTTCAGGATCCTTATTATAAAAGACTCATGAATCCAGGCCTGGCACTTTTCACATTTTGATGCAGTAACCTAGGAAAGCTTTTTGAAACCTGCTGATTTGGCCTGAATGAAGAAATATTGTAACTTCAAATGCATTTCGGTTTGCAAAGAGGGCATTTCATTTTTTTAAAAGTCTACACCGTTTGGATATATGCCTGGGTTTTGAATGCTTTACACATAATGGACCATTTGTATAAGCTCACGAGTTAAAGTCATAGGGTAACAGAAAATAACGTGTTTTTTTCTTGGTGCAAAATATGATGGTGTTTTAGACACAATCAGATATGCAGTGAGATTCTAAGCATTTGGACACTTCTGCTTTTCTCAGTGGCAAAAATATTTTTTCTAAATAGTTGGACTTAATTCTGACGTCACTAACACTGGTATACATCCTAAGCAACTCGAAGAAGGCACGGTGGTGAAAGTGATAGGAAAATTAGACCCATAAACTCCCTGCTCATTGTGTTTATGTATCTGTTTTATGATAGCTCTTCAGTGTTTGATTCTAATTTAACTCAATTCTTGCCATTTTATATGTTTGTGCTCCTATTGACTGGAATCAGTAGTGCCAAACATGGACTACAGAAGATTCACAGATATCCCAGATTATTGCCAGTCATTGCAGACTTGACTATATACAAAATCCCATAGCACAAGATGAGCTGTGGAGAGAAGGTTGTAACTTGTAAACAGTTTTGAAAGTGGGTAATTTCAAAGCTACAGATTTGCTAGGACTGGATGATATAGAGTGAACAGAGGAGAGAAAAGAGGAGGATGGATGAGAGTAAAGAAGAGAAGAGGGGAGTGGGCCAGGGGAGGTGCCATTTGATCCACATTAAGTATAACTTTGTTATCTTTACATTTTCTGACCTTTTAAACTGATGTAATTATGCACCCTGGCTAGTAGATAAAGCCTTTGTTATGCCTTTTAAGCCCTAATTCCTAATGTGTGGAGATGCTCTGTCTCCTGGGCATTGTACTCCGTACTGTGCTACCCTCCCAAAACTCCAGAGATTGCCAGGGGAGCATGTCTGCTGTGCCTCCCTTGAAAGGGTGAAGCATGCACTCCTTTCTGTTCCTGGCCAGCACAAAGGAGAGTTTGTTAGCCAGCACAGAGAGTTCAGACTTTGACCACCCCATCTTAGGAGAGATACCAGACAGGTGCTGGAGGTACCGGTACTTGGTTACTAAAACAGCTGTAAAATCCCAGATTATGGAAGAGTCCACATTTACATTTGAATGACAGTGATCATTTTCCTTTTTCTTTTTCTTCTTTCTACAGCAAATAGCATTCAAAAATTTGGTACAAAGAAATCAGCAAAATGAACAACAGAATCAAGGTCCTCCAGCTTTGAACTCTACAATACAGCTCCCTTTCCTAATAGTTAACACTAGCAAAAGAACTGTTATAGACTGCAGCATATCAAGTGATAAGTGAGTGTGATGTGGAACCACATACTGGAATATTCAGTCTTCTGTGTAATAAGTATGGGATTTTTCTTTGAACAGAAAGTCTATTCACTTCATACTGAAACTAATTATACATTTGCATTTCCCTTTCATCTTCCTGGTATTTGACATAGGTACTGACTCCATCGGTGCTCCAGGGCTCAAACACCCATGAGAAAAAAATAGGGGATACTCAGGACCCACCAGCCACAGCTGTTCGGCGGGGCCCCTGGCCTGGCTGCTGATCAGCTGTTCGGCAGCTGGCAGGAGGCACTCGAGGGAGGGCAGAAAGAAATCAGTGGCCGGCAGGTGGGGGAGCCTTGGGGGAGGGGGCTGAGAGGAGAAAGTGAAGGGCAGGTGGGGGAGGGAGTAGAGGGGGGGTGGGAAGAAGCAGAGCAAGGGTGGGGCTCGGGGGAAGGGGCAGGGCTTCAGGGCAGAGCATCCACTGGGAAAAATAAAATCAGCGCCTATGGTGTTTGATACCTCTTTCAGTATACTTAACCACCATTGTGCTTTTGTAAAATGTATGATGTATGCTCTACAACTTTTAGTCAGAGTTATATGGCTACCAACTTGTTCAAAATTATGAGATGGAAATAAGTGCCAGAGGCAATTGGGAAATAGATGTTTGGTTCATTTTAGTGGCACCAGGCTCACTTTCCTTAGTGCTTCGTAAGATAGAGAAGAATGAAAGTATGCAACAGTTAGAAATATTTCGCTTGCATTCTTGGGTTATGGTTTATTGCATTATGGATTTAGTTGTAAGCGTTTCTTTGATGTTAACCTGTGACTCTTGTACTTATACGTGAGGGAGTCTGTATTTGTTCTCAGCTCTCTTGTGAATTCTATCAGCTGGTGAAAGAATACAATCTTGATGTATCATTGTTTACTAGATCATAACAGTTTATTAGTGGTAAATAGATCTCTTTCATTGAATGTTATTGGTTATGGATTTCATTCTACCGTACATTGATTTTGCATTACAGTGGAACCTCCTTATGGTGAACTTGAATATAATGAAACTTTATAACGAAGTAGAATAAAAGTCCCTAATTGCTTCAGTTTCAACATCCAAATTACAATTCTGGCTATGGTGAAGTTGTTGGTGAATATGTATAATCAGGACCCTGTGCACTCTGCAGCACAGTTGGCTGAAATTCTTATAAGAGGCCTAATTTCTGGACTCCAGTGCAGTTGCCTGGAAATACTATGCCAGCTAATAGTAGATTAAAAATTGATATTTTTGTTGAATGAAATATTCCAATGAATAGTACAGCATAATATCCCCTCAATTATTTTTAAATTGACCCTAATTTTTAAGCTTAATATCAAATTAAATAATTGTTAATAAGTTGAATATTTTTTTATTGAAACTTCATAACTGAATTGTACAAGTTGTTGGGAGGTAAGCAGAAGCTTTTGGTACCTGGGAAGGCATGGGAGGGAGTTTGAGATTGTGGGATACTAAAATTATCAGTGGTGATATATTTTAAATTGTTGATATCATCAGTCTTCAATATTAACACCCCATTGAGATGAGTGGGACATTTCACATCCCTAAAGCTACTGTTTGCATCTCAGGGACCTGTTTACACTATATTTTCCCCTTACAGTTTCCCTCTGTTGCAACTCCCTGTGCAATCAACTAGTGTTCACACCAGTGGGGTGCATATGTGGATAAGGTCCCAGCAGCTGCTGGTGGTTTAATCACCATGAAATTAGGGCTGTCAATTAATTGCAGTTAACTCAAGCGATTAACTCAAAACTAATTAACTCAATTTTAAAAATGAATCACGATTAATCGCACTTTGAATTGCACTGTTAAACTAATAAAATACCCATTTTAATTTATTATAAATATTTTTGGATGTTTTTCTACATTTTCAAATATATTGATTTCAGTTACAATACAGAATACATCAGGGGTTCTCAAACTGGGGTTCAGGACCCCTCAGGGGGTCACGAGGTTATTACTTGCAGGGGTTGCGAGCTGTCAGCCTCTACCCCAAACCCCGCTTTGCCTTCAGCATTTATAATGGCGTTAAATATATAAACAGGTGTTTTTAATTTATAAGGGGGGGTTGCACTCAGGGGCTTGCTATGTGAAAGGGGTCACCAGCACAATAGTTTGAGAACCACTGACATAAAAAGTGTACAGTGCTCATTTTTATATTATTATTTTTATTACAAATATTTGCACTGTAAAAAGGATAAAATAAATAGTATATTTCAATTCACCTCATACAAGTACTGTAGTGTAATCTCTTTGTCGCGAAAGTGCAATTTACAGCTTACAAATGTGGACTTGTAGGCTCTAAAGTTTTACATTGTTTTATTTTTGAGTGCAGTTATATAACAAAAATAATAATTCTACATTTGTAAGTTGAACTTTCACGATTAAGAGATTGCACTTCAGTACTTATATGAGGAGAATTCAAAAATACTAATTCTTTGGTTTATCTTTTTTACAATGCAAATATTTGTAATAAAAAATAATAGAAAGTGAGCACTGTACTCTTTGTATTCTGCGTTATTATTGAAATCAATGCATTTGAAAATGTAGAAAACATCCAAAAATATTTAAATAAATGGTATTCTATTATTGTTTAACGGTGTGATTAAAATTGTGATTTATCGCAATTATTTTTTAATCTCATGATTAATTGCAATTAATTTTTTTAACCATTTGACAGCTCTACATGAAATCAATCTGTTAGGTAAGACATCAGAGTTGTTAAAATATTGGTGATTGGTCTATACTAGTTCTGCACCAACAGGACCTTTTAAGAAAAACACCCAGTGTAAACACCGTCTGATGTGCCCCAAAGCACTGGTTTGCACCTGGTTCACATTTAGAAAGTTTTCTTCTCACCCATAAAGGCTAGAAAAGCCATTTAAAAAAATAAAAGCTGGGATTCTAGAGCAGTATTCCAGAGCACTATTCCAAGGTAAGATGTGGATGAATTCTGTGGCAGAAATGCATAGCATATGATACATATAACTTTACTATTCATACCAAAACAGCTGAGCTCAAGAGTTATTTCTAGATACTTGTACAGCAAACACTGTTTTTTGGGGTTTTTTTTAAACATTTCTAAGTTAAACTTTACAACTTAGTATTTTTGGTGTGATTTTTTTCTCGGGGCTTGTCTACACAAAAAAGTTGTACCTCTTCAACTATACTGATATAGTTAAAGCAGTACAACCCACCTACTGTGGACACAGTTATATCAGTACAAAGGTGCCTAGTACTGATATAGGTTATTGCTCTTCCCATATAGTTAAACTATAGCAGTATAACTATGTTCACACTAGAGGTTGTACCAGTATAACTATAATTTTAAAAAATATATCTCTGACAGTTTATACTGGTACAGAAACTGTGTGGAGACCAGGATTTAGACCCAATCCTTCAAACACTAAAGCATGTGTAACTGTACTCAAAGAGTAGTTCCATTCAGGGGTCTGACTGAAAAAAAGACCTGATGGCACTCCTCCAAACTCCTCCACCCACAAAATAAACTGCTTCCTTGTCAGTTGCTTAGAATGAGATGCTGCTTACTATAGATTAGAGGTTCTCAACCTTTTTCTTTCTGAGGCCCCCCCAAACATGCTATAAAAAACTCCATGCCCCCACCTGTTCCACAACAACTGTTTTTCTGCCTATAAAAGCCAGGGCCGAGTTAGGGCAAGCAGAGCAATTGGCCAGAGCCTCATGCCATAGGGAGCCCTGCAAACTTAAGTTGCTCAGGCTTCAGCTTCAGCCGCTGGTGGCAGGTCTTGGGGCTCCAGGCTTCAGCTCCACATGGTGCTTCGGCTTTCTGCCCTGGACCCCAGTGAGTCTAACGTCCCATGCTTGGCAGACCCCCGAAACCTGGTCACAGCCCCCCAGGGCCCTCGTTGAGAACTGCTGCTATACATCATGTAGTTGTTCAAAGTATGATCATATGACCTCTGAGCTCTAATGGGCTCCTTGAACTTGGCTCCCGCCCTCCCCTCAAGTGGAGTTTTAGTATGCCATGTGCTCTGTTAGGCCCCTTGACTGAGGCGGAGAAGATAGTCCTATCTTCAACTTGTCACCCACCTATGGCATCAAAGTGAGATGCTGCTGACAGTAAACTGTGCAGATCACTGATCCCTCCTCTCCTTTCTTACATGAAGAATGAAAGAGTTAAGAACGCTGACATATAAATCATCATCACTGGGCACCTGAGTTTGCACCTTAATGAAATAAATGGGGCAGTTCATACCTTTCAGAGCTATTGTTTCAGGCTCTTTGCAGACTTGCATCTTGCCTTCAGTTTGTGTTTTTGAGGTTTTCTCTTTTTTTAAATGAGATTCTGGAGACCATCGTCACTTCAGATATTTTCTATATTGGCTCAGTCTCCATTTACGTCAGTGCTAGTAGAGTTATGAACATGTTTAATTTTTGCTGGTTTGGAGTCTCAGGTTGCAAAAGCACTGAAGAAATAGATTCTTGTTTATACTTGACAAGAGTTTTGTGATCATTTCAAGCATTAATTGAACAAAAAACTGTTTACTAGGGATCTGGGCTTAAACGAATTTCATAGAAAGACAGTGGACTTTTTTTTAATCAGAAATTAATCAGTCTAGTTAAACTTCTCTTTCTGTTGGGGGTGGAAGAAGAGACAAGTTGCTTAAATAAGTTTTAAACAGTTGATTATTGTCCCTTATTTATTGGAAAGAATAGATGACCTCTGGCTTATTCTCAGTATTGCAAGCAGGCCAGAGTACAAGCTGAGCGAATAATGCAACAGTTCTGGGACAGAGGGCTGGTCTACACTACAAAGGTTTTACAGTATAGCTATACCAGCAACGCTTGCTGGTGGAGAGGCTACCCTGAACAAGATAAACTACCCTGGCAAAAGGACTCTTCTGACCGTATAAATTGCATCTACACGGGGGATTTTGCCAATATATCTATGCTAGTTAAGGGTGTGATTTTTTTTTTCTCACTCCTAACTGAAATAACTATGCTGGCAAAACATGATATGACAGTTTTTTAACATATAGGACCTGTAAGCAAACAGATTTAGAAGGTTGTTATTTAATTGATAAACTATCCAAACGGTGATTTACATTGAAGTAAATACGTCAGTTCACAGTGGGGATGTTGTGGATTAGAACAGAAAGTTTAAGGAAAAAGCGGCAAAAATAAAAATGGTTATTTTTGGTGACAAAGCTGTATAAGACTTTCAAAAAGTATTGGATTTAGTACAAGTAAGGGTTCTTGCTGGAGCAGGAATGTTTTCCTCATCTTTTAATCCGTTTAATGAAGGAGAAAAGTTTATGGACTCTTATTGCCTGCCATGGAAAAAGTTGTTTTAATTGGGAAATATGATCATTGGAACCCTGCAGAGATGCCAGTCTCCTAAGTACAGGAGAAAAGCTGTACCTACCCATGGTATTTAGGAAAAAAAGCATCTTTGACCTCTGAAGAAATCCTAAAATATTGTAATTGTATCTGTACACTTACTTCCTGAATGTATAGCACAGGAAAATATAATCAGGCCCATGGTTCCTTCCAGAACCATCTCACTTTGACATTTCTCCTGTACAGATTTGAATACCTCTTTAATTTTGATAACACGTTTGAGATTCATGATGACATTGAGGTGCTGAAGCGAATGGGAATGTCCTTTGGGCTAGAGGCAGGCAAATGCTCAGCAGAGGATCTAAGAACTGCAAAATCATTGGTGCCAAAAGCTTTAGAAAGCTATGTCACAGGTAAGTTAAATGAAGCTTTTAAATATTATCCTTGATTAAATTCAAAGCCATAACTTACTGAAGCATTTCTAATTATGTCAAACTACATAAGCATGAGGCATAAGACAGTTTGAAGTAGATTTATGAAAGCCAGCAGGATCCCACAAATGACTGGTGGTTTTAAAATTAATCTTCGATGGGCACATGTAGACTTAATTTAAAATTGTTTAGAATATCAATTCATGAATGGGCTGCAGTGCAAAGGAATAATTCCATTAATAGTTTCTGGTGAAAACATAATCCTTAAGACTCAATAATATAGCCCAAGCGCCTCAAAATGACAGTATTTTCCTTGCATCATTGCTACTCCTTTTTAGGCTCAAAAGAATCCTGGATAACAGGAACAGGAAAGACCTATAAAAGGGAGTCCATTTCTCTTTTTTTCTCCTCTCCCTCACTCCCCCAAAAATGTGTGGAATAGAGAGCACCTTAGCAGAGGACAAATCTGATATTAGACTGCTCTTTCAGCTTATTGAGGAGATTCTCCTTATAAATCTCTCATTTTGCATGGACCACATATTCCTTTGTATTTGTACAGCACATAGCAAAACAAGGCCCTGATTTTAATTGGCCCTCTGAGTACTATTGCATTATAAGTATTAAATAAGAATGAGATGATGTGTGTTTTAGAGCAGCGGTTCTCAAACTGTGGGTCAGGACCACAAAGTGGGTCACAACCCCGTTTTAATGGGGTCACCAGGACTGGTTTAGACTTGCTGGGCCCATGGCCAAATCCAAAGCCCGACCCATCCGCCCCAGGCTGAAGCCGAAGCCCAAGGGCTTCAGCCCTGAGTGGCGGGGCTCAGGTTGCAGGCCCCCTGTTGGGGCTGAAGTCCTTGGGCTTTGACTTTGGAGCTTCTCTGCCCGGGGCAGTGGGGTTCGGGCTTTGGCCCCCCTACCTGGGGTGGCGGGATTCAAGTGGGCTGAGACTTCAGTCCTCCCTCCTGGGGTCATGTAGTAATAGAGGGTCACGGTGCAATGAAGTTTGAGAACCCCTGATTTAGAGGAAATAGGGCATGTGTATCTGGAGATATGGATTCTGTTACTGATCTTGAGCAAGTGATTTTCACCTTTGTGCCTTATGTATAGTGTTTGAGAACTATTGATGAAAAGCACAAAGTGTCATTAACTAAATTAAACTTCCTAGAAAATGTTACAACCCTCTTTTATTAAAAGGTAGAACTTGCTTTTAAAATTAGGAGTGTTTATCTCTTTTATTAGAATTGCAGCATGCCAGTCTAATAGCTGGACTCTCCTTGAGTAAGATTCTGGATGTTTGTTAAAATGTATTGTATAGGTTCTTGAAATAATTACTTTCTGCATTTTCCTATCATTGCAAGTATCATTGTAAACTTATGCTTTCTCCTATATATTCAGTCTTCTTTCGTTGTTCTTCAGTGACATTTGAGTCCAGTGTTTGTGACATTACTTCTCAGTATTATGAAAGTCTTTTTGGATATTAACTCCAAGGTTGATCACATCCTGTACACAAAGAGGATTTTCTCTTCCCACCCTCTTCTCCTAGACATTCTGCTTGGATGAACTGCTTAATGGTCATAGCTAGGTGGGCTTCCAGTTATAGACTTAGACAGCATGCTGCAGTATTGTAGGTTACTTAATGCTTCTGGTCCTTGGCTGTTGTCAGTCTAAACTTAAATTGTTCTAAAGTTCTCTTAAACTTTCTGGTTCACTTTAGGAGATCTTCCACCGATGAAAGGAATGTTACCCAGTAAATCGCTAAAAAGAAATTTCAACACTTAATTTTCAGAAAAATTGGAACACTGCCATTAGCCTGGCACCTGTGTTGTTAATCTGATTCTCACTTCACCTAATGTCTGTTGTATTGATTTGCCTTGTTTATTATTTTAAAAAATCTTGGGTCCCTTTCCTGTAGCTAAGAATAGAAGATTAATTTTTAATACTTTGTTCCCTAAGTGTAGAAGCTCTATAGAAGGTAATGGTATTTCTGCTGCAAATGAGAGAGAAGAATTTTTTTCTGTTGCAAACAAAGTAATTTTATAGATCTCCCTGGGAGGATAATGCAGTTGGAACCTGTCCAGTCACTTAGATGATAATTTATAATATATACATTGGTATAAGTTTTTATATTCTTAAAGAAGCAACATTTTTGTTGTTGGCATAATTTCTTTGGTAACACACTAGTATTCCACATCCACATAGGCTTCTGGCTATTAATCACAAGTCCTGTATTGACTTCCCCTTTATACAAAGTACTCTGGACCAATACTGTACTCTTTAGATGTGGGTTGTTTTTGAGTACATTTTTCAAAGCTGTCTTATTTTGGTTATGAGAAAATATGGCCAAAAGTTCTGGTTCTTTTAATCTGGTATTGTGTACTAAAGTGTGTGCATTTAGTCTGAAGGTTTCTTTTATTGGTTGGTCCTAATATAATTATGCAGTGTGAGGATCAGTATAAATTATGTAGTTACTACAATCAGATGCCTGTATTAACAAATAGGAGTAGCTGTCTTAAATATGTTTTGCAAAGATATCAAAAAGAGGGCATTTGCCTTATTACATGGTTCTCTCAGCAAAGTATAACTTCCCTTCTTAACTTTGGTATGCTTTATTTCTTATACTACCAGAGCAGAATTTAAGGTTAAGTATCCACATTTTATGGCTTATTTCCATCAAATTTGCCATGTTGCTTTAAAATATATAGACTTCAATTAACTACTGTTCAAGAATAGCAAATCAATGTCTTGTATTTATTTACTGGTTACGTTTGTTGCAGACAACAAAGTTTAGAGCTTTCCCTCACTGGCCTACCCCATGAACTAGACTATGATGGAAGAGAAACCTCTGTAGTTGATGTCAGAAGTAAAGAATTATCTGAATCAGCTCATTGCTAGGTATCTCCTTAGCAAAGCATACTTACTGTACACAATGCTGAGAGCTTCAGGCTGTGTCTACAGGACAAATTTCTGCTTGCATAGCTATGTCAGTCAGGGTTGTGCTCTCTGACTGACATAGCTCTGCCTGCAGAAGTCCTTACTGTAGATGCAGCTATACCAGCAAAGCTTGTTTCTTTTATGGGGATGTTTTTACTGTATTGCTTTTCCTATACCACTAAAGCACTCCTAGTGCATACCTGGCCACAAAGACTGGGCCAAGACTGTGCTGCTATTTTAGAGAAACAGATACTGAAGGCTGAAGATTAATTATGGTAGTGTTGTATTTGCTAAATGAACATGCATAACCATTGGAGAAGCAAAGCGGATAGGATCTCCTAGTCTGGAGTTACGTGGATAGATTTGGTGAAAAATCTACAACCAAATATGACCATCTCTGCTAAAAAAAATTACTTTTCTTAAAGAATATGTTACTTCCCAGCCCAAAATAACATTTTAGAATTGCTTATACAGATTAATGCAAAATATATGAAAGAATCTTTTAATTTATTAACTTTTTAAAGTTTTCATTGTACAAAAGGCTTACATTTTATCCATTCCCTCAGAAAGCCCCCTCTCTCACAAATGTATACACTCTTACTTTTTAATTTTCTCTAGATCTCATTGTGCGAAAATTAATCATGTTATTTTAAATAAAAGCTTGAGAGTACTTTTACCTAAATTAGTAGGAGTCTGGTCCAAAATTTAACTTAAAATACCATATTGGTATAGCACACAGCTATCTCTCTATGTATCTTGAACCATAAATGCTGAGTTTGTTAACAAAAACCAAGGGTGTCTTTTTTGGGGGGGGTAGGGAGGAGGAAAGAAGGGGTTTACTACTGCCGGCACTGAGAAGACAATACAGTTTCTGAATAAGAACGTGTATTGTATATAGAGTGGGGTAGTAGCAGCATTGTACTTTAGATTGCGATTAGTTTATTGTTTACTCTAAAATCCACATGCTTACTTAGAATGTCTTGGAAATTGCTGTGATCCAGGGCAGACACAGTGGTCCAATAGAAGGTTTCCAAGATACAGTCCATCCCTCCCACCACCACCAAAAAAAGAAACTGTAAAATTTTCATGTCACATGATTAACTTTTTTTGTGCACAGCTGGGGGTCTGAGCCTCCCGAACTGATACCACCTACACTGGATGGATCTCCAGCACCTACTTCCCCTTTAGCAAAGCAATATTTTAAAAAGTTATTCAGGGTAAACATTGGATCTACACAGTGGCTTGATCCGGAGAAAGTCATTTGTGCAGGTGCAGCAGGCCTGGGGGCTCTACTGCAATCAGTGTCTGCAGACATGCTGACAGAGTATGTACCTTGAGGTGATGTTCTGTGGCCACTGAACCCAAGTATACTCCTGGATGAATTCTGTGCCAAAAAAAATAAAAATTCTGCACATAATATTTTAAAATTCTGCATATTTTATTTTCAAAATATAATCACACCAGTTTCAATTATTTTGGTAATTTATTTAAAAATACCTGTCAACAGCTATGTCAACAATACACACAACAACAAAAAACATTCCCCCAGGAGTAGAAAGTTAAAGAAACCCCTATTGCAACCCTGTTCCAGTTGGGGGGGTGCGGGAGGGGGCTGCATGGCATCCCCTCCCCCAGAGCCCAGCTGTGGGGCACCCTCCTCCCCCCCAGATACCTGCACCCCAGAGCCTTTACTCCCTCCCAGATTCTTTACTGTCCTCTATGCCTGCTGCACTGGGCACTCCGCTCAATGCCAGCTGGGCTCTGCAGAGTTCTGCAGCACCAATTCTGTGCGAATTCTGCAGTGGCACAGAATTCCCCCAGGAGTACTAAGTAGCATCCACGTACTGTAAGTCTGAGTCCTACCTTTGTCAGCTTCCTGAGACTGAGGCCTGGTCTATATTTAAAATTAATATTGACCTAGCTATGGCGCTTAGGGCTGTGAAAAATTTTGCGGCACAATTACGTTGACCTAATCTAATCCCCAGAGTAGACGCAACTAGGTTGACAGACTTGACCTCTTGAAGAGGTGGTTTAACTACATTGACAAA